AAAGTCTTTTTAGATTACTCTGGGAAGAGAGATACTCCTGATGACCTTTTATGGAGAAATGCCCTTCTTAAAGGTTTCTATGGGGAGTAGACCTTCTATATTTATGAAAAGAAGACTTTTCAATGGGCTTCTATGAAAGGAGGACCTTTAAAAGCTTCCTCTCTGTGGATGACCTTCTTAAGTTATCTTATGAGATGACCTTAAATAGAGAGAGGCTCTTCTTCTATGGGAAATATACCTTCCAAGGGCCGTCTGTGAGATGAAGACTTTTCAAGGGTCTTTTACTAAAAGAATGCCTTCCTGGGCCTCCTATTGACAGCCACATTGTAAATTAATTCTTTGGAGAGGAAACCATCTAAGGATCTCCGCTGGGCAAAAGATCTTCCAAGAATCTCCCTTTTATAGAATATCTGAGGGTCTTCTAGGATTAGAACAAATTTAACCGTCTTTTATGGAAGACATGTGAGGAAATTCTTCAATGGTCCCCATAGATAGAAAAAAAATTGAAGATCTCCTATAGATAAGCGATCTTTAAAGATCTCCTATGGGTAATGGGACTTTGAAGATATGCTACGGGTGGGAGAATTTTGAAAATCTTCTATAAAGAGAAAACGATTTCAAAATTTTGTCGCAGATAAGACTTTTCAAAGAACTTCTGAAAATCTGAAATTTTTCAAGGATCTTCTATCAAGAGAAGGAATTTTAGAGGTACTTTTTAGAGGCTTTTTAAAGCCGCATATGGGTCTTGAAACCTTGAAAATTTTGAAAGTCTCGTATGGATAGAAGCCGTCCAAAGGTTTGTCTTTAGGTAGAGGATCTCCTAATTAAATTTTGTGTATAGAATTCGTTCCAAGGACATTTTATGGGCCAAAGAGCACCTTTCGGTCCGCTATATATAAAATACCTTATTCAATGTAATTGGAAGTCTTCCAACTGATTTTCTGCAAAATATTATTTCCAGAAGACCTGCAGCGATCAGCGAATCATAAAAAAATCTTTTATTCAGAGGCCTTTTCCCACGCCTGTTACCGAACAAACTGTTAATGTCATGCCACAATCACACAAAATGTAGGTCTTTCATTGCTCTCCCCCATGCATGTCCAGATGTCAAACATTTGCGTTGTCCTTGCTTGTACTTTCCATGAATTAAATGAGTTCAATTGGATGAGCTTCATATGTCAATTCCATACAAACAACAAAAGAGAAACATTCGTTATTACATTTTTATTTTTCAATTTTATTCTCGTCTCCACAACACTTCCCTTCCCCTCTTCAGTTGTGGTGCTGTTCCAACTTTGCTCTAGCATTTTTTGCCATTCCTTTTATTTCATTTTGTTCATTGACACAAAAGTTGCAACATTTACAGGATGTGAATGCGAATCAATGAATGACTGAATGTATTGATGTATTTGTCTCCATGTGCATTTGGATGCATGGTAGTATGTGTGTGTGTGTTGAAGTAGGATTGTGTTTGTTGAATATTTCCAAAACTATAAGGATTTACTTAATTGGATTTTTCGTTAAAACTAAAAATTGGAACCGAGTAATTTATTTGCTGCACAAGTATGAAATGGACAAAAATCCGAAATTAATTAATTCCTCCAAAAAAAACACAAAACTGAAATGTGGAATTTTTAGTTTTTATAGCAAAGAGAGAGAGAGAGAGAGCGACAAAAAGAGAGGGAGAGCCTGTTGTTAACAATCGAATCTGTTTTGTTAATGTTGACAAAAGTCAAATGTAATTGGATGCCAATTCTATTTGGAATTGCAATTTGTTGTTGATGAATGAATTACACTGGGACAAAAAGTTAACCTTTTATTATTGTTTGGCATACGACAGAGATCGGAAAAGTTAAAATAATTGCAAAGGAAATATTTCTAAATGAGAACGCTATATAGAAAAATCAATTAAAGTGGACAAGTAGGAGAAGTGGACATAGCGGATTCACTGTTAGCTACTCTGCTACCTATTTCACCCCTTGTTTAGCGACCACATAGAAAGAAACTCTCGACCATATTTCTGCATATTTTTCAGAACAGCATTTGCGTTATGATTTTAAAAGCTTTCGACCTTTTATGGGAGAGTTTCCGAAAGGATTGGCCAATATTTTTGATTTCGTATCTGGGCTATTCGACTGCTTGGTACACTTTATATGAGAAGTATTCTACTCCATCTAATACTGATAAAAATATTGGGATGTGCAAAATGTAAAGAAAATCGAAAACTTATTTACAATTCCATAGAAGCAATTGTTAGACAAAAGTTTACCTGGAAGGGGTGTACAGAAACAGAAATATTGAATTGCACAAAGTTCGATAAAATTGCCATGTTATGGGAGATATACAGGGTTGCCCATATTCGACGGACTTTTGGGCCCGTTGGGCCCATTCCAATCGACGAGGCTTGTCCGCAGGCAACATTCTTTGCGTCAATTGAATTTTGTACGGGAACAAATGCAAATCAATGCGAATAATCCGTTGTAAAGTGGACCAAGCCATGCCCAACTGCTGAGAACTGCGTTTTTGGGATGTTCTTGGGGACCTCTCCCCACTGGCTCGTACGCCAGCGATATTATCGGCCGATCGCCTTGGTCGATTTTTATATGGCCTCTTCGGATTAGAAAGAGCCTTACCAGTCGAAATTTTTTCGTATAAACGCTTAATGGTGTTCTTAGAAGGCGCACTTCTCACATTTTTTAATGTTTTAAAAGCTCGTTGAGTTTTCACAATTGACTTCTTGTAAATTTCAACTATTTCAGAGCGCTCACGTGGCGTGTATTGGTTCATGGTAAAAATCTACTTGGACTGACGCTTCAAACGCGGTATGTCATTAAGCGATGTGACATCTCTGTCAAAAGTTATGGCGTTGCCAGATGGGTCCGTCGAATATGGACAACCCTGTACAGGGTAAAATGAAAAAAACTGCACCCAATTTCAGACTGCTGTTATTTCTAAGCCACTCGTCCGACAGCTGTTAAAATTATTCCAGTGACAACTCATTATATTGTTTACAAGCGTACAAAAGCATTTTGCTGAAAATTTTCCAGAAAAATAATTATTCGTAATGAAATTCAAGCGTGATAGCGTGATGTCTTTATATTTGGCAGGAAAACCACAAGTTGCTATCGTTAGAGCACTCCAGCTATTGAATGTGAATAAATCGTTTGTGTCTCGTACCATCGCTCGTTACCCTGATACTGGTGGCGTAGCCCGAAGTCAAGGAAGTGGACGGAAAAAACAGCAACATCAGCAAAAATGGTTCGAAAAGTAAATAAGCGACGTGGTCGAAACCCGCGTCGCAGTGGCCGAAAAATGGCTCGTGAGCTGAACATATCGCAATATTCCATTCGGCAAATATTGAAAAATCGGCTTGGGGTAAAGCCATTGAAATTCCAAAGTGTGCACGAACTTACACCGCAACAGAAAGGAAATAGACTCAAAAGAGCTAAAGAGTTGCTTTGCTTCGCCGAAAGTGTTGAACTTCCGAATTTGGGTTTCTCCGATGTAAACAAACAAAATGATGGTGCTTACTTGCCAAAGTGGTCAGCTGGAAATCTGCACCTACGGTTGGCCACCAGAAATCAAGCACCGGTCATGGTGGTCATGATGGTGTGGGCCGCCATAACAGCCGATGGTCGCTCTCCGTTCGTATTAATCGATCGTGGCATCAGAAAAATTGCTGAATATCGTCGCGAAAATATTCTGGAGGGTGTATTAAAACCTTGGGCACGCAAACATTTTGGCCGCAGACCTTGGACATTCCAACAGGACTTAGCACCATCGCACTCAGCACGCGCCAGTAAAGAGTGGTTACTAAATAACTAAATGATTCGCTTCATTTCCAGCGCACATTGGCCACCAAAATCTCCGGATACCAATCCGTTAGACTATTGTGTCTGGAGTATTTTGGAAAGCCAGGTTGGTACTAAAAAATACCAAAGTGTCGATTACCTCAAGCAAACACATCGCCTAGAATGGGCCAAAATACCCAGAGCAACATTCGGGCAGCGTGTGACAGCAAGTACATCAAATTTGGTGAAAATCGGTTTGGATATAACTATAACTTCCATATATAACGTTTCATCCGATTTGGTATTTAAGTCCCTCACATTCGTAATATGCACTCCACAAGAATGATATTTTGTACTAGATATGTTATAGAGCTCGGAACTACTTTTGTCAAATTTTATCGGGATTGGCTCAGATTTGATTATAGCTCCGATATATATCTTTATCCGATTTCAGGTTTATGGTGCACCAAATCAATTATAATAGCCCAATTTTGGACTGAATTTTGGCCCCTTCGTCGGAATTCAGCCTAAAAGCTTCAATTTTTGGTGAAAGTCGGTTCAGATATATCTACAGCTCCTTATATGTGTTTCATCCACTCCACAACAAGGATCTTTGATACCAAACATCAGATATAGCTCGAAAATACCTCTGCCACATTTTATTGAGATCGGTTTAGATTTTTATATACCTTCGATATACATCGGATCATCGGATTTTATGCTTATTGTCCACCTGTGTGTTATATCAGCCCATATTCAACCGAATTTTTTCGAAAAAAAACGAATTGAAAAACAATTCAGAATTGGTCCCAGGATTGGTTATAGTTCCCAAATTGTGACTACTTTAAAGCCATGATACCCATTCAAATAAAGTTCATAGTTGGTATGATGTACTTTACATAAATTCTCAACATAAACCTTTTTTAAAGAAGCTTTACTAAATACGCCTAGTGGTGTAGGGTATCATATAGTCGGCCCTGGCCAAATTTTGACCTTTTATTTATGTGATATTTTGTTTACTAAGCAATTGTTGTAATCTTTGGGCCCGGTCGGCACACTCTGATTTAACATACCCCATTGATGCTTTGTCAAATTTAGGTAGTGTTTCGATCTTTAGAATATTTTCCTATTTTTTTCAAGTCCTGAAAAGTTATTAAATTAATCCTCCTCTGAACTTTGAATAATAAGAATATTATTTTTTCCTTACAGAGATGCCCTGGATGGTTTTGGTATTACCGAATGTGGTTCGCTGGCCTGTTTGTCCAGCCCCTGTCGCAATGGTGCCGCCTGTATTAAAATCGAAACCAATGAAGTCGATGACAATGGTGATAAGGTGGAGAAATGGAAATGTAAATGTCCCTCTGGCTATATGGGTCCAACGTGTGAGATATCGGTGTGCGAAGATAATCCCTGTCAATATGGTGGAACTTGTGTACAATTCCCTGGTAGCGGTTATCTTTGTTTGTGTCCTTTGGGTAAACATGGACACTATTGTGAACACAGTAAGTTTTTTCTGGGAGATGTTTGTTCGAAGAAAACGAAGAGAAAAGTATTGTAGCGAAAATGCACCCCATACCCAGTTTGAAGTTGATTTTTATTTTTTTAACAGAAAAAAAAATAAGAAAAATATTTTTAAATAATTTTTTTAAAGAATGCTGCATAATTCATCAAAATGTTGTTTTTTTAGTAAAACTTTGTTTATAATTTATTTTGGTAAGAGTTTAATTTCTTTCGTTATTGTTGTCATCTATTTTTGGTTGGATGATGACACTGCTGCTAATGAACCAAGAAATAATGGATTATTTTTTATTTATTTTTTTAAAATCCCAAATTGAAATCCTTTCTCTCCCACATAAACCAAAAATCCGCTCCCATATTTTCTCTGTGATCCATTGCTCCCTCTCCAATTTTGTGCACTCAAAAAAAAAAACGCTCAATGAAAAAAATAGCCTACCTACCTCCTTTGTCAATATTCCTTGATGCAAATGCCAATTTTTCAGACTTGGAAGTGGCCCTGCCCTCATTCTCGGGCAGTGTCAATGGCCTCTCTTCGTTTGTGGCCTACACCGTACCCATACCGCTGGAATATTCCATGGAATTGAGTTTCAAGATTTTACCCCAAACCATGTCACAAATTGCCCTGTTGGCCTTTTTGGGCCAGCCGGGATATCATGATGAGAAGAGCGATCATTTGGCCATTAGTTTTATACAGGGCTATATTATGCTCACCTGGAACCTGGGTGCTGGACCGCGTAGAATTTTCACCCAAAAACCAATTGATTTCCGTTTGGATGCGCCACGAGTGCCGTATGAAATCAAAGTGGGACGCATTGGGCGCCAGGCGTGGCTTTCGGTGGATGGTAAATTTAATATCACAGGTCGTTCACCGGGCAGCGTGAGTCGCATGGATGTCTTGCCCATTTTGTATTTGGGTGGCCATGAGATTGCCAATTTCAATACCCTGCCGCATGACTTGCCACTGCATTCCGGTTTCCAAGGCTGTATCTACGATGTACATCTTAAGGCGGGTCAAGTTACAGTGCCGCTGCAGGAGACACGCGGCGTAAGAGGTCGTGGTGTGGGCCAGTGTGGCACACGAGAATGTCATCGACATGCATGTCAGCATGATGGTGCCTGTCTTCAGCATGGAGCAACATTCACGTAAGTTCAGACATCGGTTACTGAAATGCGATCGAATAATTAATGCTTGACCTCTTTCCCACCCTTTCCCCATCTTTCTTCTTCTTCTTCTGCTTCTCCCTTACACAGCTGCATATGCCAGGAAGGTTGGTACGGTCCATTGTGTGCCCAGCCCACAAATCCTTGTGACTCGTTTAACAATAAATGTTCGGAGGAATCGACATGTGTGCCTTTGGTCAACGGATATGAATGTGACTGTCCGGTGGGTCAAACGGGCAAAAATTGTGAAGAAGGTAAGTGGAGCAACTTTAAAATGTACCAAATGAAATTCCATAATACACAAACGTGTCCGGTGTAAACTTTAGTGGATGGCCCAACTTCGAAGGTGGCCAAGAAGATGAGGCGAGGGGAGGGCGAACTTAATGAAATGTGTAATTGTAAGAATACAAAATGTGTAAAGTGCTAATTGGGAATATGTATCATTTCATGGATAAGTTAGCAGGAGAGAAGTTTATGTGGCAGCAGGAGGATGCTTTGATGGGTGGCACATTAAATTGCCCCAGTTGTGTGGGCTTAGAAGATGTATGGGGCCAGAGGCAATGTTATTAATAAATGAAAATGCCATTAATTAACTAATGAATGTTTAATGACAAACAGTTTAAAGTTTGATTGGGTTTTGTTAACAGAAAGGAGGATAAAGGGTTTTAAAACAATAATGATGGGTGATAATTCTGCTGCGTAAAGCAAAATGTTATTGTTCCAACTTATCGTAGTTTTGAATTGTTATACCCTACACCACAAAGTGGTCAGGGTATTATGTCTTTGTGCATTTGTTTGTAACAGGCAAAAGGAAACGAGTTAGACCCATAGTTTCTTTTGATGATCTGCATAGAATCACATTCTGAGTCGATTTATGCATGTCCGCCCGTCCGTCCGTCTGTCCATGTATTTTTGTAAACAAAGTACAGCTCGCATTTATTGACCTATCCAGATGAAATTTTGCACAGATCATTTGTTTGGCCCAAGGACGAACCCTATTGAAATTGGAGATAATCGGTCAAAATTTATATATAGCTTCCATATATATCTTCGCCCGATTTGCCTTTTATTGCGCACCAAACGTGTAATATCAGCCCGAATAGTTTGTAATTTTGCACATACAACCATATTAAGCCTGAAAATAAGTGTGCCAAATTTGATCGAAATCGGTTCAGATATAGCTATAGCTCCAATATATATTGTTCATCCGATTTGTTATTTTAGCCCTCCGCAGCCGTAATATGCACTCTTGAACAACAATATTTGGGGAAAAATAGCAAATACAGCTCAGAAATATATTTGCCAAATTTTATCGAGATCGGTTCAGATTTGGATATAGCTCCCATATATAACTTCGTCCGATTTAGCTTTTATTGTGCACCAAACGTCTAATATTTGTCCAAATGGAATGGAATTTGGCACTTACGACCGAATTGAGCCTAGAGCTCTACTAAATTAGAAAAGTGGTGTAGGGTATCATAAAGTCGGTCCCGCCCGACTTTAAGACTTTCTTTACTGGTTTGTTTTGAAAACTTGAAGTTCGATTTGAACTCTTGTTGTTTAATTCGAATGCTTATTCCAGTTCGATTGTCTTCAAATTTCACACATCCCAATAATTAAGTTAACCCAAGGCCTGGTCTTAAGATAAAATATATCGGTTCACTCTTTCCGATACCTCCCCACAAAGAGTCAAAATTTTGAATACCTATGAAGCTCTTAAGCCGCGAAATCAACTTCCAATTCCATTCAGACTTCACACATCTCAATCTTCCATCAACACAGAAGATATGTTATTGAGATGGTAGAGATCGGACCAATCCTTCTGGTACCTCCCCCACAAAGGGTCAACATTTTGAATAACCAAAACGATTATAAAATCCGAAATAAATAATAAATTTGAGACTTTGGTACATCTCAATATTTCCATGATCAAAGATCATGTAGAGATCGGAACATTTCTTCTGGTAGCTCACCCACATAGGGTTCAAGATTTAGAAAAACAAAACGCTCAAAGAAAGCCAAATAAGCATCAAACTTTCTTCAAACTTCACAAACCCTTCTTGTATCTCACTAATCCTGGGTCACAATTTTCAATACTTTTCGAGAAGAATTTTATTAAAAAAATTATATCGGAACCGAGATCCACAAAATGGAAACGTACGTCCCGAAATTCACTCCATTTGGGCTGATATTAGCCATTGTTTGCACAATAAACCTGAAATCGTATTAAGGATATTTATGGGAGCTATATCCGAATCTTAGCCGATCTTGATAAAACTTGGCAAAGGTATTTTCGAGCTCTATAAGATATCTGGTACCAAATATCATGGTTGTCGAATGCATACTACGAATGTGAGGGACTTAAACACCAAATCGATTGAAACATACAGGGTGAGATAAAAAAAAAACTGTAACGAAGTCAAACGCCATAATTTTTATTTTTTCTTTAATTTTATCGAATGAAAGCAAAAAATGTCGGAACTAGCATCAAATTTTAGAATAAGTTAAGATTTGTTCGAATTGGTCACCTTTATCACGAATTAAACGGCCAATGAAACCGTCACAAACTGCCTGAATATTGCTCTGCGGTATTTTGGCCCATTCACGGCGAAGCGCTTGCTTGATCGACATTTTGGTATTTTTTAGTACCAACCTTGCTTTCCAAAAAACTCCAGACACAATAGTCCAACGGATTTGTATCCGGAGATTTTGGTGGCCATTGTGCGCTGGAAATGAAGCGAGCAGCCTCATTTTGTAACCATTCTCGGGTGGCGCGTGCTGAGTGCGATGGTGCTGAGTCCTGTTGGAATGTCCAAGGTTTGCGGCCAAAATGTTTGCGTGCCCAAGGCTTTAATACCCTCCAGAATATTTTCGCGATAATATTTGGCATTTATTCTGATGCCACGGTCGATTAATGAGAGAGGAGAGCGATCATCGGCTGTAGTGGCTGCCCACATCATCACCATGGCCGGCGCTTAAGTTCTGGTGGCCAACCGAAGGTGCATATTTTCAACTGACCTCTTTGGCAAGTAAACGCGATCATTTTGTGCTGGTCAACGAATGTTTTCTCATCGGAGAAAACCAGATTCGGCAGTTCACCACTTTCGGCCAAGCGAAGCAACTCTTTAGCTCTTTTGAGTCTATTTTCTTTCTGTAAGTTCTTGCACTTTTTGGAATTTCAATGGCTTTACCCCGAACTCATTTTTCAATATTTGGCGAATGGAATATTTCGATATGTTCAGCTCACGAGCCATTTTTCGGTCACTGTGACGTGGGTTTCGATCAAGTCGCTTCTTTACTTTTCGAACCATTTCTGCTGATGTTGCTGTTTTCTTCCGTCCACTTCCTTGACGTCAAGCTACGCTACCAGTATCACGGTAACGAGCGATTGTACGAGACACAAACGATTTATTCACATTTAAATGCTGGAGTGTTCTAACGATAGCCACTTGTGGTTTTCCAGCCAAATATAAAGAAATCACACTATCACGCTTGAATTCCATCACGAATAACTTGTTTTCTGGAAAATTCGCACCAAAATGCTTCGGTACGCTTGTAAACATATAATGAGTTGTCACTGGAATAGTTTTAACAGCTGTCAGACGAGTGGCTTAGAAATGACAGCACTATGAAGTTAGTTGCAGTTTTTTCATCTCACCCTGTATTTATATGATATTTATTAAAGTCCGATACGAAATGGACAATATTGGACCATTCCTTCATAATCTGCTCCATAGAGGGTCAACAATTTAAATAATCATAATAGAAGTCAAAATATATTTAAATAATTGAACATTGGCTGAGGGCATTGAGAGATCGATGGCATTGACGCTATTTACGATACAAGGACGCCACCTATACACTCTTCCAAAATACACGCGAACACTTGCACGGAACACACACAATTCCACAAATTTAAGAGCTCAGGTAAAGCTAGAAACCCCTCTCAATTCTAAAGACGTAAAACAATACTCTTAGAAGTAAGGCGAGCGTTATAAACCTTACAAGAAAACACATACACAATCTCCACAAATTTAAGAGCTGGGGGAACGCTATAAGCCCCTCTCAACTCTAACGACACTACAACAAATGTGAAACTCAGATATTCCTTAACCCAAAAAAAAAAAAACAACTAAAACATATCCTTTTTTATCTCCCTTTTCAGAAATACATTCCCTCAGCGATGTCAGCTTGACGGGCAGACGTTCATACTTGGCCGTTCGATGGCCATATCTATACGACAACAGCGATAAGATGGGTGCCAAGCGGTCACAGATAATAAGCTATCGTAACTTCACAAAGAAACTGATGCCACCAAAACCGATTGCTTCGTCGAATCAACATTTTGTCATGAAACTACTAAACGAGGTGGAGAAGCAGAGAAATTTCTCTCCAGTACCTTTGATGGGTTCCAAATCCTTTGAAGAACATCATCGGGTGCAATTCTTCTTCATTGAATTCCAATTACGACCACTTTCCGAACGAGGTCTTCTGTTGTATTTTGGTAGTTTGAATAAAAATATGGATAAGAAGATCGGCTTCGTATCGCTATCGCTACAAGGTGGTGTGGTGGAATTCCGCATATCTGGACCCAGTAATCATGTTACGGTGGTGCGTAGTGTCCGCATGCTGGCCATTGGTGAATGGCATAAAATCAAAATGGCTCAACGTGGTCGATGGCTAACACTGTGGGTAGAGGGTAGTGCCTCATCGGCCTTGGCCCCCAGCGCCGAAGTGTTGGTTGAACCTGATGCTCTACTCTATGTTGGAGGTCTAAAGGATTTGTCGAAATTGCCGCATAATGCCATTTCCGGTTTCCCTGTACCATTCCGTGGTTGTGTGCGTGGATTGGTGGTCAGCGGTACACGAATTGTCCTAAATGAAACCAATATCATTGGTAAGTGGAGAATTTGAATACGAGAATGAAATATTATATTTGTTGTTCGTTTTTTTTTTTCATTTAGAATCCCGTAATATCCGCGATTGTGATGGCACTGCCTGTGGCGGTGATTCCTGTGAAGCCGGTGGCCATTGTTGGCTGGATGAAAAGTTACAACCTCACTGCATTTGCCCGGAATATGCAAAGGGTGATCGTTGTGAATACTCGGAAACATGCAAACTCATACCCTGCAAAAATAATGGTCGCTGCCTGAGAAGCGGCAGATGTTCGTGTCCCAATGGCTGGGGTGGATTCTATTGTGAAATTGGTAAGTGATTCAGAAAATCTCTGTATTTAGACTTGGGTTTAAGTTGACGAGTTTTGTCTAGTTCAAACTATAGAAGTTTGATTCGAACAGGTTAAAAAACTAGTTTGAGTTGCATCGAACAAGTTTTGTTTGTTTTAAACCGCGAAGGTTTGAAATGAAATGCTTTAGTTGTCTTCAAACCAAATGATTCGAACAAGTTAGAAATGTTGCGAACTAGTTTGAGTTGCATCGAACAAGTTTTGTTTGTTTTAAACCGCGAAGGTTTGAAATGAAATGCTTTAGTTGTCTTCAAACCAAATGCCATTTAATCTATGTTTGCTGAGTGACTGACGGATTCATCAACGCCCAGACAAGACTGCTGAAGCTAGAAGCTTGCAATTTTGGGTGAAAGTCATCCTTGGGATGTAGGTCCAAATTAAGGTTGGCGTTTTCATTAATTCGTCCTATAAGGGTACGGAAATTACAAAAAAAAATCCTAAAATCCTAAAATATTGACATTTTAAAATTGAGTCCACGTTGGGAAGTACGCCTAACATAGAAGGTGCCTCTGGATATGCGGTGTACGAAAAGTACTTATTGGTACTAGATTCTGTCCAGAGTACAGGAACGGAATTGGAATTACGAAATTTGTGCTATGGATCATTGTGAGCGTATGTAGCGTTTAGATGAGGAGGTGGATTTGGAAAATCGTACTATATAGTGTACGAAAAGTACTAAATGGTACTAAAATTTGGGATATAATGCTAGAAATGTAAGAAAGGTACTGCATTTGGTTTATAAATTAAAAGTTATAAGGGTCCACTAAGAGTGTAATGTGTTTGGACAGGCCTGTGAAAAGGCTGGGTTTTTGGAAATTCGTACTAAAAGGGTACAAAAATGTACTAAAAGTTTATTATTTATTAGTGGACAAACGGAATGAGCTAGACATTTGGAATGAGAGTCATGATAGATGTACCAAAGGGTTTTTGGAAATTCGAACTTTAAGGTTACGAAAAGTTTGAAAATGGTACTAAACTTCTTAAACTGTACCATTTGGTATTGTGGAAACGGATAGAGCTAAAAACTTGAAATTTCGTATGAGAATCAAGTTTGGAAATTAAGTTTGATATATGAAGGTGGTTTTGCAAATGTGTACTACGTTTGTACTAAGTGTACTAAGAGGTTCTAACTTTGGAACACTTTAGTTTAGAGTGAACTGCTGAGGCTAGATTTTCTAATTTTGTATTTGGGTCCCTGTTGGTGGTAGGTTTTTGATAAATAGTTGGTTTTGGAAATATGTACACAAAAAGTACTAAATAGTACTATATTTGGTACAAATTGGTATTGGGTAAAGAGAGAGTGCTTGAAATCTGAAATTTGGTATTAGGGTCACTGCTCATGTGTGGACATAAATGTCGAAAAGTACTAAATGGTACTAAATTTGTCTTGGTTGAAGGGCTAGCAATAAAATGCTAAAATTTGATATTTAGATTACTGATGGTATCTTTATTTCAGATTTGGCGGTGTTTTAGAAATGCCTCCTATATTTGTACGAAAAGTACTAACTGGTACTAAATTTGGTATTGGTTGAAGGGATGGGGCTGGAATTTTCAAAGTTGATATTAAGGTCTCTGTTGATATATGGAATGGAGATATGGAGGTGGTTTTGGAAATGAATACTAAAATTGTACGAAAAGTACAAAACAGTACTAAATTTGGTACTGAGTGAAGGAACAGAGCTGGAATCCCAAATTTGTTCCAAATTTGGTATTGGGGGAAGTAATAGAGCTGAAATGCTGACATTTGATACAGATGTCACTGTGATTAATAAATGGAAGTGATTTTGGATATGCGTACTATAATTGTACTAATGGTACTAAGTTTGATTTAGTTTTGGGGAAAAATTAAAGAGCTAAAATCCTGCAATTTGATATTGAGATTTCCGTTGGTATCTTGTGTTGATATATGAAGGTGGTTTTGGAAATATGTACTATAATTGTACGAAATGTACTAAATGGTATAATTTTTGGTATTGAGTGGAGGAGTATAGCTGGAGTCCCGAAATTTGATATAGATGTCACTCTTGGTGTCTGTGGTTAAGGTATGGACTATAATTGTTCGAAAAGTACTATGTGGTATTAAATTGGCTATTGGCTGAAAAGGGCTGGAATCCTGAAATTTGATATTAAGGTCACTGTTGGTATCTGAAGTTGAAATATGCAGACCGCATTAAAAACGCGTACTATAATTGTACGAATAGTGCTAAATAGTAAGAAATTTGGTATTGACATTTTTTACCTGGATTTTTAAGGAATTTTAAATACATTTTTTATTGTATTTTTAACCTGATTTTCCGAGGTATTTTAAATAAATATGGACTTGGATTTTTTAGGGGATTTTAAAAGTTGAAATACGCCAAAGTCATACTCCACATCTTTTTACACATTTGCAACAATCTTCTTTTCCATTGCATTTTTCAATTTAATTTTCTTTTATTTTCTCTCTCTCTCTTTCTACCAGCCCTCAGCAAACCGACAACACCCAGCTTCCGTGGCAACAGTTATTTGATCTTACCACCACCTCGTATTCCCATGAAAGATAAACGCAAGGGACCATCGATGTTTGTGCGGCCACGTGAAGCTATACAAATATCATTGAACTTCTCGACCATAGAACCCGACGGTCTATTGCTGTGGAGTGAACATGACCGACAGAAATTCTTAGGTTTGGGCTTGGAAAATGGTCATTTGAAGATTGCCAGCAATTTGCTGGGATCGGACAACGATACTGTCTCGACACCATCAAGTGGCTTCATCACCGATGGCAGCTGGCACATGGCGAGAATTGTTGTCGATCGTTCACATCTGGAGCTGCAGCTGGATGGTGAGGTGATATTTACAGAGAAATTGGCGTCACAGGAATTAATGCAACAGCAACAACAACCATCAAGCACAACATCACCGCATAGAACGAGATCGAGAAATTCACTGCTGGCCCGAAGGGGCAAAGAACCAACGATAACCTATGAGGATTTGTTCTATTTGGGTAAGTAAGAAAATACAATGATAAGAGATAGATACAATGTAAAGGAGGATAAGAAAACGCATTGTATATCAGAATCTATGAAAATATTCATAGTCAGTCTTCTGATGAACTCAAAGAATTATAGAAGTAACATATCGGACCTCATATAATTTCCTTTGTAAGAAATAACACTCCAGGAGCCTACCTCATAATAAGAATTTTACTCCCATCAATTAATAGACTTCTCACAAACGTGAAAATCCCAAAACCTGAATGTTTCCAAATATTTTCCCACCGTTTACAAAAAATTAGTTTGAATTACGATTTTGCCACACAGCCATAAAAGTTGCACGTGATGTTGATTACCGCCATAACCCACTCCCTCAATCAAGCCCAATTCATTTGTTTCATTTCGTGCTGACGGTGGGGGGGGGGGGGGGGGGGGTAGAGCATTGTCGTAAAAAATGATGGAGCTGAAAAAGACTTACAACTTCAAATGGAGCCTACATACCACCCTGCAAATTGTAAATTTTCGAATTGAAACCTGCTGAAATGCCAAAGTGTAAAACACCAAAGGGTAGACGTTGCTATTATACTTAGCAGTCAATGAAAACAACAACAACAAAAACACGTATGGAAACAATAAAAAGAAACTAACAACAACAAAGTTAACTACAGATTTGGGTGGGTGTCTGGAAAATGTATTCAATCGAAGATGTTTTGAAAATAAGGTTTAGCAAAAAAAAGTCAAAGAGGCCCAAAATGCACTATATCTTCTATACGCCATAGAGAAGCTGGAGGTCCTCTGTCCACCATAGAAGAGCTGGAGGTCTTCTATGCGCCATAGAACAGTTTGAGGTCTTCTATGAGCCATAGAACAGTTGGAGGTCTTTTATGTACTATAGAAAAACTGAAGGTTTTTATACGCCATAGAAGTGCAGGAGGTCTTCTAACCGCCATAGAAGAGCTGGAGGTCTTCTAACCGCCATAGAAGAGCTGGAGGTCTTCTAAACGCCATAGAAGAACTGGAGATCTTCTAATCTCAATAGAAGAGCTGGAGGTCTTCTAACTGCTATAGAAGAAACCGCCATAGAAGAGCTGGAGGTCTTCTAATCGCCATAGAAGAGTAGGAGGTCTTCTAACCGCCATAGAAGAGCTCGAGGTCTTCTAACCGCCATAGAAGAGCTCGAGGTCTTCTAACCGCCATAGAAGAGCTTTTTGGCCTATAGAAGATCAGAGGATATTCTATAGCTTATAGAAGACCATGGCGTCTTCTTTGGCTTATAGAAGACCAGCCATGGACCAGAGATTTTTCTATGGCTTATAGAAGGCCAGAGGGTCTTCTATGGCTTACAGAAGGCCAGAGGGTCTTCTTTCGCTTACAGAAGACCAGAGGCTCTTCTATGGCTTATAGAAGACAAGAGGCTCTTCTATGGCTTATAGAAGGCCAGAGGGTCTTCTATCGCTCTGGTCTTCTGAGCGTCTTCTATGGCTTATAGAAGACCAGAGGGGCTTCTATCGCTTAAAGAAGACCAGAGCGTCTTCTATGGCTTATAGAAGATCAGAGGATATTTCATGGCTTATAGAAGATTAAGAGGTCTTCTATGGCTTATAGGAAACCAGAGATTCTTCTATTGCTTATAGAAGATCAAAGCGTCTTCTACGGCTTATATAAGACCAGAGGATATTCTATGGCTAATATTAAATCAGAGAGTCTTCTATGGCTCATAGAAGACCAGAGGGTATTCTATGACTTATAGGAAACCAGAGAGTCTTCTATGACATATAGAATACCAGAGGGTCTTTTATGGCCCATATAAGATCAGAGGATCTTCTATGGTTTATAGAGGACCAGAGGGTCTTTAATGGCTTATAGAAGACAAGATGGTCTTCTATCGCTTTTAAAAGATCAGGGGGCTTATAGAAGACCAGAGGGTCTTTTATGGCTTATAGAAGACCAGAGGGTCTTCTATGGCTTATAGAAGATCGAAAGGTCTTCTATGGCTTATAGAAGACCAGAGGCTCTTCTATGGCTTATAGAAGACCAGAAGCTCTTCTACGGCTTATAGAAGGCCAGAGGGTCTTCTATCGCTTATAGAAGACCAGAGGGTCTTCTATCGCTTATAGAAGACCAGAGGGTCTTCTTTGGCTTATAGAAGGCCAGAGGGTCTTCTATGGCTTATAGAAGGCCATAGGGTCTTCTATCGCTCTGGTCTTCTGAGCGTCTTCTATGGCTTATAGAAGACCAGAGGGGCTTCTTTCGCTTATAGAAGGCCAAAAGGTCTTTTATGGTCTATAGAAGATCAGAGGATATTCCATGGCTTATAGAAGATCAAAGGGTCTACTATAGCTTATAGAAGACCAGAGGGTCTTCTATGGCTTATAGAAGGCCAGAGGGTCTTCTATGGCTTATAAAAGACCAGAGGGTCTTCTATTGCTTATAGAAGGCCAGAGGGTCTTCTTTGGCTTATAGAAGGCCAGAGGGTCTTTTATGGCTTATAGAAGGCCATAGGGTCTTCTATCGCTTAAAGAAGACCAGAGCGTCTTCTATGGCTTATAGAAGATCAGAGGATATTTCATGGCTTATAGAAGATTAAGAGGTCTTCTATGGCTTATAGGAAACCAGAGATTCTTCTATTGCTTATAGAAGATCAAAGCGTCTTCTACGGCTTATATAAGACCAGATGATATTCTATGGCTTATATTAAATCAGAGAGTCTTCTATGGCTCATAGAAGACCAGAGGGTATTCTATGACTTATAGGAAACCAGAGAGTCTTCTATGACATATAGAATACCAGAGGCTCTTTTATGGCCCATATAAGATCAGAGGATCTTCTATGGTTTATAGAGGACCAGAGGGTCTTTAATGGCTTATAGAAGACAAGATGGTCTTCTATCGCTTTTAAAAGATCAGGGGGCTTATAGAAGACCAGAGGGTCTTTTATGGCTTATAGAAGACCAGAGGGTCTTCTATGGCTTATAGAAGATCAAAAGGTCTTTTATGGCTTATAGAAGACCAGAGGCTCTTCTATGGCTTATAGAAGACCAGAAGCTCTTCTACGGCTTATAGAAAGCCAGAGGGTCTTCTATCGCTTATAGAAGACCAGAGGGTCTTCTTTGGCTTATAGAAGGCCAGAGGGTCTTCTATGGCTTATAGAAGGCCATAGGGTCTTCTATCGCTCTGGTCTTCTGAGCGTCTTCTATGGCTTATAGAAGACCAGAGGGTCTTCTTTCGCTTATAGAAGGCCAAAAGGTCTTTTATGGTCTATAGAAGATCAGAGGATATTCCATGGCTTATAGAAGATCAAAGGGTCTACTATAGCTTATAGAAGACTAGAGGGTCTTCTATGGCTTATAGAAGGCCAGAGGGTCTTCTATGGCTTATAAAAGACCAGAGCGTATTCTATGGCTTATAGCTTGTAGCTATGACTTATAGCTGTGGCTTAATGAAGACCAGAGGGTCTTCGTAGATGAGATGAAGCTCGATCTTTCCATTTCCCCATATAATAAATAAAGTAACATACCGTAGGCTTATTTACACAGGTTGTAGCGTATAAACTTGTATCAACATATTTTGGGAGTATCAAATGTTCCACACTTACCTGCAATTGTTTGAAATGGAATACCACGTCGTAAAAAATTAAGCCAATGGAGTTGAAGATGGCAAAGTCAAAGGTATTCGGTAATCCACTAATAAAAATCTCAGTTTATAACACGCTTCGTCTGTTCAACAGAGAGATGATGCTGATACTACTGCTGACCTGGAGTTGCTGCTGTTGTTGTTTTTTTTTTATTATCTTTTGTTGCAAATTTCCAAACCTTTTTACGCTTGACTGGAAACGGTGGGAGTTCATAGACTTTTGCCAAAGCTGTCAACAAAGGTGCGCGACTCACAATTCGGACGACTACCGTTTTTTTCTTTCTTTTCTGCGATACATAAAAGCCAACGAAGTGTATAACAAAGGGAACTGGCGCTAATGATAGGTAAAATTGGATTTTTTCGGATTTCTTGTCTTGGACGGTAACATTTAATGGCCAACAAATTATCAGAGTGTGTGACACGACCCTACTCAGACGGCGCGGCGAGGCATTGAGAGAGAGAAAAAGAGAGCGAGAGACTTGCCAGACACCGGTAGAATGGAAATTGGCAATAAACGATTCCGGTTGTTTGGAAATTATTTGGTGTTTCTCGCCCGAAACCGATACCGGTATGATGGGGATTTGTCTGGATGGATGGATGGATGGTTGGTTAATTGAACGGATGGATGGATGGTGATATTTAAGATGGATTTTCTTTTCTCTTTGGATATTTTTACTTCAAGCTAATTTTTTCGATACTTTTCTTTTAATTTCTTTGGCTTGTCACACAATTTATTTTTTGAACACAAAAAGCAACATTCACTCAATTTTTTAATTAAAATAACCGGGCGTTAATTTTTTCATTGGTGTTGTTGTTATTTTTTTCGGGATTTGTTGATTGTTTCTCATTTGAACGCTTCGAATGACTGACTGCCTGATGTTGTTGACCAACTTCAACTTGTGCGAACTCTGAAGCCAATCTAGCCAGTCAGCCAGCCAGCCATCCGCTACACAGCCAGTAAGCCAACCAAATCAATGACAACAGCAGCAAAAACAACAATAACAACAACTTCACGTCTAAACCATTGCACAATGGGTTGGTTGTAGCTGGATGCTTATTTTGCTTTCTTTGAGCGTTTTGTTTTTCAAAACCTTGAACCCTATGTGAGAGAGGTATCAGGAGAAATGGTCCAATTTTAACCATTTTATAACAGATCATGTGTTGATAGAAATATTGAAATGTGCCGAATCTTAATGGAATCTTATGCTAATTTCGCGTTTTATGAGCTTCATGGATATTCACAATTTTGACCCATAGTGGGATAGGTACCAGAAGGAGGAGGATCTCATTTTTACAGCAGATCTTGTGTTAGTAGAAATAATCGGATGTGTGAAGTATGAAGAGAACCGCATTCTTTTTTCGGATTTTATGATCGTTAC